TTGAGCATTACTTTGCTAGTGTGTGAGATGTGTGCAATTTTGCAGTAGGTTGAATATTCTTTGGCATTGCCTTTCTTTGGGATTGGAATGAAAACAGACATAACTGCAAATACTCTTTTATTCTTCTCAAATAGAACACCACATTCTATGTACATCGTGCATGCGGGCAAGGTCAGTCATGTCTGACTCTTTGTGACCCCATGGACTGTAGACCCCCCAGGGTCCTCAGTCAGTGGGATTCTCCAGGCAAGAATACTGGAGTGGGTTGCCATTTCTTCCTCAAGGAGATCTTCCCAACCCAGAGATTGAACCTGCATCTCCTGAGTCTCCTGCATTACAGGCAGATGCTTTACCACTGAGCCATGGGGGAAGCATGTACATCACAATAATGAACTAAATTACAATTGAACAAAAACTGAGAAACGCCTAATCATAAATTTCAACTTTACTGCTGATATTTTAATTTAGAAGCTTTGTATTCCTATGCTTCAATTAATGAGCCATGGAACCAATAGTGATCTAACCTTATAATTCTACTTCAAACTTCTATGTTTCACACTTTTAAATCCTTTTTAAAATTTTTAAAAACTGAAGTACAGTTGATTTTTGGGCTTTCCTCATAGCTCCATTGGTAAAGAATCCACCTGCAATGCAGGAGACCCCGGCTCGATTCCTGGGTCAGGAAGATCGGCTGGAGAAGGAATAGGCTACCCACTCCAGTACTCTAGGGCTTCTCCTGTGGCTCAGCTGGTAAAGAATCCATCTGTCATGCGGGAGACCTGGGTTCGATCCCTGGATTGGGAAGATCCCTTGGAGAAGGGAAAGGCTACCCACTCCAGTATTCTGATCTGGAGAATTCCATGGACTATATAGTCCATGAGGTTGCAAAGAGTTGGACATGACTGAGAGACTGCCACTTCACTTCACAGTTCATTTACAATGTTGTATTAGTTTTCATACTTCTTAATATTTCTCTAACATAAAATATTTGAGTTAATTCAGTATTTTTGATGTATTATTTCTGAAAAAATTAAGTACTTTTGGATTAAGGCTATGAAAGAATATCAAATCAGATTAGATTGCAGAAAAGATAAACCATGTCTTTCATGTTGACAAAATGTGCCATTTTTAAGACACTGTAATGCCCAATAAAATGAAAATAGGATTTGAAAAAGCTGGGAGGTAAAAGAATCAACTGTGTAGAGAAAACAGGATTACTTTTATTGGCTACTCTATCAACTTAACTTCTCATAAAATCCTCCTGATCTATTAAATAACTTCAGAACTGAAGTATGCTCTCCTATGGGAGTTGTAAAACAAATTAGATACAATTACAATTCAATACAAATTTAAAAATCAACCTATTTACCCTTAAGATAATTCTTGTTTTAGAAAGCTTTATCATTTAAGTTAGATCAGAATTTTCCCTAATGAATCAAATGGGCCACTTGACGTAACTATAGAGTTTTATATTATGTTTTCTACAGAGAAAAATAGTTGATATGAGTAAATTCTGGAAAACTGTGGTAACTACATCTCCCTAAAGTGAATACAACAAACATCTGTTGCAAGAACTGCTTGGCTTTCAGACAGTATGTAAAGGGTGTCCTTTTTCCCAGTGTTTTGCTATTACCAAAAAAAAAAAAAAGCTTATTTATTAAAAAATTTTTTTCTCTACTGTCCAGTCTCAAGGCATAAAATCTTAAAATTCTGGTAAGTTAAACACAGATCATTACCAAGTAGGTAAATTACAGAAAGGAAAACTATGCAATGCACAAGACTCCATTTGCTTTCTAAAAAAGCAACAAAATAATGGGCATGTTGCTCTTATATGTAGGTTACACCATAATTTTAACCATTGTTCCTATCTTAGTTCTCAACACAAACCTAGCAAAACTTTCATTGCAGAGGGAGGAACTAAATATATAATTTCCTGAGGATTTTCACCCTCTGTGATAATTCAGTTTTCACCTAGTGATAATTCAGTTTTCTCCTATGGTTTTCACCAGCTCCTGCCAGTTTCTAAGCTCAAGAGTGAACTGATATCCTTCTTAAATGATAAATGAATTCTTACAGTTTTACTTGAGTGATAGGGTAAATAACTGCAAGGTATTTTTGCAAATACATTAAGCACAAAATGCAATAATTTCAATAGGAGTAGGGAAAGAATCAATGAGCCTCTATGCCTCATTTTTTGTAACTGTATCAAAGTACTGTTCCGTGCTTCTTGGTAAACTGAATGCATTTTCCCTGATCCTGAAAGAACAGAATTTTACCTAAAATACACAGGTATTTTGCCCAGTAAAACATCATCTTTTTAGCATCTGGCAATTAGTGCACACAAATGAGCAGGTAGAAATGAATAGAAATGTTTATATGAAACAGCACAGGACACGGACCTTTAGGCTCAGGAAAGGAAGTAATAAACAGATGACCACTTCTCAACTCATTTCAAAGAATATGTAACTCTGTTTACTTCTTAATCTTCTTTCTCCTCTTCTATTTATACCTACTCCCAACAATTTTGAGGTTACTGTTTATAAAAATTTTAAGATTTAATTTCATAATTCCATTTTTATGCTAACAAAAAGGTATTAATTCCTAAAACATTCCTAGGAGTATTTCAGGAAAGCATCATAATACTACATGGAGAAACCTCTGTCGTACAAGCAATGGGGAAAATAGGAAGCTTCCATTTCTTTCTCTCTCAAATTCAAAGTAAGTTTGAGCACTTCACTGTGTCTCAAGTTCAAGATCTGCAATGGAATTTGTCCATGAAATCAATTAGGGTAGTCTAAAACATAAACATGCACCTGGTGTAGTGTGTGTGTGTGTGTGTGTGTGTATGTAATCATAGGGAAATGCTTCACTTAGATCAGTCCTCAAAACAGCATTTGCAAACTCCATCACAAGTGGAAATTTTGTAGAAAATTCATTTAAAATGGATATGAATAAAAAGGAAAGTCAAAGACACATAATATGCTCCAGTATATACAAGCTTAGAATAATTTTCAAAGTATATCTATGATTACCCTACATTCATAACCTCTTCTTACTGAAAAAATGAATTAGCAGGCGAATGTATTCTTGGTTCTGTCTCATGTGAACAAAAATTTGAAGCAACAGACGTTAGATAGCTGTCCTCTTCCTAGAAGAGGCAGCCAGCCAACAATCACATGGCATATACTCTTAAGTACTTAATTGTTACAAGCTACCTTTATTCAATGTAGCAGTCTTTAATTCCTATGGAGGATTACTATGAGTCATATGTCAGGTTTCTAGAACACATTAGCTTCACTTTTTTGATGTCTATGGAAACATATAAACAGTTTCTAATTTAAAAGCAAAATAAAATCTTTTCAGCTATAGCACGTCTTTAAAGTGATTTGAAGTGCTACGTATTATCTATTTCATATCATAATCTATATTTATTCATGTATAAATACATCTATGTATTACTACACATAATGTATTAAACATGTATTATTAATACACACAAAATGTTATATTGTTTATGCATATTCTGTAATACACTCATATATTTTACACAGTAAATCTCAGAATACCAATGCCTTTTCAACAAATCACCTTATAATCATAAACTAATATAACATTTATAACTACCCATCATTACACTATTACATCCATTTTACAGACAGAAAAACTGGTGTTAAGAGCTTAAAAAATGTACCTGAGGTCTTAAGAAGCACTCAGGAAGGCACCACAATTACAATGCTGAAGATCTGCACATTGTTGATTGTCTGAATAGATTTGTATTATTCTTTTTTATCTTAATCATTTATTATCATCTGTATGGTATTTTACAAAATCTCAAAAAGGTTAGCACTACTTAATGCTGAATGAGGCAACTAAAGATACATATAAGCTCTGTTTAATAAGAAATTCCTGCCTTCTTTACTACTTTCCTAAAATAAATGAAAATACTCTGTATATGGTACCTCTGACAGTACACTTCAAAGTGAATTAGGAAATTAATCCCACTCACTTCTCATTAAAAAAGAATCACATTATTCCCATTTCACAGGTAAGAAGGCAGGTACAGAGACAAAGCTATCTGCCAATAGGTACCGCACAAAGTAGGAGGGAGTCTGGAGTTAGAACATGTTATATCCTTGGCTCCTCATCTGTTTTTCAGACTAAAGGGCAGTGTGGCTTCTATTATTCCAAAGTTAATAAAAGAAAAGCACAGAACTTTTGAAGTAGGGGGAGGTGGTGGTGATAGAACATGTCCTGATAGTTACAGGTGAAAAGGAATACATCAAAAGTTTAGATTTCACTGTACTGAAGGTTAAACTTCACTATCATTTAAGTTTTGAAAGCTATTCATGTATCTTATTACTTTAGTACCATGAATCAGAAACTTTGCTGAGACCATGGTTATCTGCCCAGAATTAGTCTCATGCTTTTATAGGAGATACAAGCTAAGAAATGAAATTAAATATGGAAGATAAAGAATTGTTCCGTATTAAAAGGTATTCGGTGGCATGGAACTTGCAAGATAAGACATCAATTTTCAGCCTTGCTGATTACAGAACAGTACCCACTGCTTCTAGTAAGCAGTGGGCATTACAGGGGACAAGAACATGACATCTGAGGGCAAATGATGCATGGTAATACACATGATACACTCCTTGAAAAGAAGAATGACCGAAGTAAGCTGGTAGGCTAAAAAAACAAAAGTTAAATAACCAGGCCTTTAGCCCTCCAAAATAGATGAGAAATATATTCAGATAAATCCTCTAACTTTTGCTAAATGGTTTAAAAAAACCCACCTATGATCTCCATAAGTGGGGTTAGAGGTACGAATAATAATTTCCATCAGATTAATACAGGCTTTCTTTTTTCATAACCTAAAATTTCACATTGAGAAACAGTATAACCAGCATATTTCTAATTACAGGAATTTTTTCAGATTCCAGCATAGCAGCACAAGTGCAACAAACTGACAGACCAAGAGCTGTTACCTTCGTGAGACATACCTCTTGTACTGACCGAGCAGCTGGCTTGTCTTGATGATTGGCCAATATTAAAAAGGGTAAAGTGCATAACTGTGGGTGCTGAAGAGCTGAGTGCAGTTCATTTCTAGCAATCTCTAAATCATCTTCTGAAGAGGCACTGTCTAATACAAATATTACCCCTTGAGATCCTTGGTAGTAGCGGCTCCAGTATTTCCGGATATTATCAGCCCCTGTCAAAAACAAAACAAATTCTCTTTTTAAAAATAGCTTTCAGTAACATTAAAATTTTTCCCAACAGTAATTTCCTATTGGACACCAACATGGCTTTGAAAATTAAGTGCAGAGATCACACTTGATGAGAACAAAGGCATTAGAGCCAATGTGTGGATACGGCCTTGAAGGAGAACACAAAAGTTTAAGAGTCATTCTTCATGCCTTTCTTATCAAAATAGTGAAGAAAGAATCAGGCTAAGTACTTCTTAAATGCAAAAGAATGTTTTCAAATTTGCTTAATAGTCCTGAATAAACTACCCTCTCTACAAACTGAGTCTGAGCCTAACTCAGAGAGCAGAATAACAAAGCTGTTCATCAAGGGTTCTCTCCACACCATTAACATCAGTCAGAGAACCACTTACTGATCAGGGCAACCTTGTTTAATTTAAACAGAAAGCTATTAGCACAATTCCTTTATGTGTCAAAGTGCTAAATTCTGTGATGAAGTAAAATCTTGGCCTTTGGCACATTTGCATAATTCCATTTGGCAAGAATCTGCCAGTCAATGCAGATTGACTGCATTTTGATCTCTGGGTCAGGAAGATACCCTGGAAAAGGAAATGGCAACCCACTCCAGTATTCTTGCCTGGAAAATTCCACGGACAGAGGAGCCTGGTGGGCTACAGTCCACAGAGTCCCAAAGAGTCAGATACGACTGAGCATGCATGCATACTCATGGCCTCAAGTGAGATGGATATTCATAAAATAAGGCAGTAAGATTCTCATCAGCCAGGGCCAAGTCTTATTCCTTATTGTGTTTCAAACATCTAGCACAATTTACAATTAAAAGTTTGATACAAGAATGAGGAAAATGAGGGAAGAAGGAAATGGAATTATATACTAATTAGGCTTCCAACTCTGAAGAAACTGGGGCCAAGAGAGGTGAAGTGACTAAGCTCCATTGATGTATACAGTAAATCACAAACTTGAGATCTGCGTCTGAGTAAGTAGACAACTTGCTCAGGGAAGGCATGGGTATTTCCCACTATATCATGATGTATACTTCCTTTTCTTTGATTCATGAATAACATGGGCAATTTTTGTGTGTGCACACATGCATGCATATGTGTGTGTATGGGGGTGGAGGAGTGGAGTTATATAACCAATACATGCTATGGGTTATTTAACAAAAAATTGATGTCAAGGAATTTCACCAATTTCATATTCTATAATAAAGTTCTAACTAGTTACAAACTATATTTTAGTCATCTACAGAACATCTAGCTTCTATGGTGGATCTAGTGTGCTCAGAGTTAGGAATTCAGAGTGGAGACTGGAACTGGTGTGTACTGGCTGCTAAGAGTAAAATGTGTGTCTCTTCTCAAACTGTCCTCAGTGAAATCATTTTGGTAGCTTGGAAATGGACAGCGTAGGAGTATTTTCCCCAAGGGAAATCAGGAAAAGCTATCTGTCAGGTCTTTCCTTCCCCTGGAGAGCCAATTTACCATGGGATGACACTGAGAAGAGGAAAGATTATAAAGGGACATATTAGGGTTCTCTGGGAGTAAGGGATGAGTCATCTGTTCAGTCTGGGCAAGTCTCTTAAAAGAGTAATATCAATCAAACGGCTACCATTTATTAACCACTTCTACATTCCAGGCACAGAACTAACTATTCTTGAAAAAACAGCTCAGGTAATTCTTACAACAAAATTTAAAAGGGAGTTGTAATTGACTTAGGCTTTGAAACTTATTGTGAGATTCTAAAATCTGGGGTATTCATCCTAATATTGTATAAAAATAATCAGGTAAACATTAAGATCAAGAGAATTTGATGTTGAATAACCTTTAATATCTAGACTAGAGATCTTTTCAAGAAAATTAGAGATACCAAGGAACATTTCATGCAAAGATGGGCTCAATAAAGGACAGAAACGGTATGGACCTAACAGAAGCTGAAGACATTAAGAAGAGGTGGCAAGAATACACAGAAGACTATACAAAAAAGATCTTAATGACCCAGATAACCACGATGGTGTGTCAGTCACCAAGAGCCAGACAACCTGGAGTGTGAAGTCAAGTGGGCCTTAGGAAGCATCACTACAAACAAAACTAGTGGAGGTGATGGAATTCTAGCTGAGCTATATAAAATCCTAAAAGATGATGCTGTACAAGCACTGACTCAATATGTCAGCAAATTTAGAAAACCCAGAAGTGGCCACAAGACTGGGAAGGTCAGTTTTCATCCCAATCCCAAAGAAAGGCAAGCCAAAGAACGTTCAAACTACCACATCTGCACTCATGTCACACGCTAGCAAACTAATGCTCAAATTTCTCCAAGCTAGGTTTCAACAGTACATGAACTGAGAACTTCCAGATATACAAGCTGGATTTCGAAAAGGCAGAGGAACAAGAGATCAAATTGCCAACATCTGATACATCATAGGAAAAGCAAGAGAATTCCAGAAAAACATCTGCTTCATGGACTATGCCAAAGCCTTTGACTGTGTGGATCACAACAAACTATGGAAAATTCTTCAAGAGATGGGAATAGCAGATCACCTTATTACCTGCCTCCTGAGAAATCAGTATACAGGTCAAGAAGCAATAGCTAGAAATGGACATGGAATCAAGACTGCAGGAAGAAATATCAATAACCTCAGAGATGCAGGTTACACCATCTTTATGGCAGAAAATGAAGAGGAACTAAAGAGCATTTGGTGAAAGTGAAAGAGACAGAAACAGCTGGCTTAAAACTTAACATTCAAAAAACTAAGATCATGGCATCTGGTCCCATCATTTCATGGCAAACAGATGGGGATACAACTGAAACAGTGACAGACTTTATTTTTTTGGGCTCCAAAGTCACTGCAGATGGTGACTATAGCCATGAAATTAAAAGATGCTTGCTCCTCAAAAGAAAAGGTATGACCAATCTAGACAACCTACCAAAAAGCAGAGACATTGCTGACAAGGGTCCATCTAGTCAAAGCTATGGTTTTTCCTGTAGTCATGTATGGATTGGACAGTTGGACTATAAAGAAAGCTGAGCGCCGAAGAACTGATACTTTTGAACTGTGGTGTTGGAGAAGACTCTTGAGAGTCCCTTGGACAGCAAGGAGTTCCAACCAGTCAAATCTAAAGAAAATCAGTCCTGAATATTCACTGGAAGGACTGATGTTGAAGCTGAAACTCCAATGCTTTGGCCACCTGATACGAAGAACTGACTCACTGGAAAAGACCCTGATGCTGGGGAAGATTGAAGACAGGAGAAGAGGACGACAGAGGATGGGATGGTTGGACGGCATCACCAACTTGATGGACAAGAGTTTGAGAAAGATCTGGGAGTTGGTGATAAACAGGGAAGCCTGGTGTGCTGCAGTCCATGGGGTTGCAAAGAGTTAGACAGGGCTAAGCTACTGAAGCGAACTGAACTGAACCTTAAATATGCAAAGATAGAGGATACAAGCAGGGTTGATGCCTATCAGACATGGTCCAACCAAGAAAACCAAACAAGGAGAGGAAATTTAAGCTAGAGATTATTTAATATAGGGAATTAGTTTCATAAGTGATGGTAGAACTAAGAAAACAATAGTGGCACTGAAATTAGCAATATCTTAGGTCAAGTTCCCTACATGCAGAACCTGAGATGTGTCTCTTACACACTTGAGTATAGGCAGAGTTCTGTCAGGAGAAACTGGAGTGGAAGCAGAAAGGGACCATGCAAAGATATGGTTTCAGAAATCTAGCCTCAGCCTGATCCAATGAGGCGTTCTAGAGTGTGGACTATACTGTGGAACTCACCCAGTCCAAAAGGCAAGGGGGCTGGGCTGTTTTACCCCTGAATAGTCACTGGCTATGAGCCATCCCTAGGGAACAGAGAGGGTGGTGGGGCATGATCTCATAATCTCCCCAGTATGTTTGGTTGAGGCAATTACTGTCAGCCAAGGGCAGGCCTCTGGAGAAGGGTACAGGTGTGAGTCATTAGCAGCCAATACCCGCAGCAGCTGGGAGATGGAGGCACTGGCCCAATAAAGGAGATCTGGGTAGGATATCAACAGCATCTGCTACAGGCTACATCCAGACATTATCCATATGAGAGAGAAACATCCATAAGCTTGAAGAACAAAAGTATCCATAAGCTTGAAGAACAAAAGTAGAGACAGTATTACCTTGTGGTAAATGTCTAAAACAACAAAAATGCTGTGTGTACATGTATCCATACACAAACTTTTTATAAATTTTACCAACAAAAATGATGTGTAGCACACAATTTTAATATAATAAGAATATATGCAACATATCTTATCATAAGTTCTATAGAGCTCATTAGTGCTCACAGAATGCTTTCACTGATTTCACCAAACTTTTGTATCTATAGCCAACCAACAGCTTAGGTTGACCAACTACAGTCCTGAAATAAACATTGGTTGTACTAAGTGTTTACATATATTAACTCATTAGCCATGATAGTCTTATGAAGTAGGTGCTTCTATCACTCTCATTTTATCAGTAAGGAAATCAAGACACAAAACAATTATATAATGTGTCCAAGGCTAAACAACTAGTAATAGATTTAGGTCTAGTGTGATTGAAATAGAAGGATCATTGACTACAAAAGTGACAAAGTCAAATAAAGAACTCTACTACCACATAAGCTAAGGCAGGGTGGGGAGGGGGAAGGGAATCTGTTAGAATAAAAGGTACCTCAGTGCTTATACATATTAATGTTCAGAGTGGGAACCTGTCCAAGAACATTTCCCAACCAATTAATTGAACGAATAGTATTATTAAGTGCCTATTCTATACAAGTCACTGAACTACAACCTATAAGAAGTATTTAGAAAGCCATTATTCCTCTTAGCTCAAACCCTCAAAGCTTGTAAAGTAATCCTGATTACAAATGAGGCCTGTAACTGTAAGACAGGAAGAAAACATGGCCATACAGTTGAGGGTATCCAGGGAGTCAAGGGCTTCCCTGGTAGCTCAGCTGGTAAAGAATCTGCCCAAAATGTGGT